GTTTAATCAGCAACTCTTTTTAGAATGTATAAATTGCCTATTAAGATTAATACGTGTTTCATTTTTTAAATCTAATAACGCTCATTTTTGAGAACATCATCTCACCTAAGAGATTTAGCCATTACAAGCATAGTAATTTATTTTTTACTGAGAGTGAAAATCGCAAGAACAAATATAACCGTGTTGAACTATTATAAGCATTAATCATTGTCTTCACTTGTTTCACAAAAAAACATTTAAATTAAATCTTAAAGCAAAAAACAAAAAAACAAAAACTTGCCTATTGCAAACTAGTTTGTGCATTCAAAGCATTGGTAAGTCACGTGCCTTTCTAATCTTATCATCCCACCACCCCACTTATGGGCTCTGTTTTAATCTTAGCTCTCAGTTAGTTTAATCTCAGTTTGCGCGGTATAAAAATATTCTTATTTGTTTATTTTTAGATTTTTTCCTCGCATTGTGGATATTTGTGCTTGTAGTTACACAGCACAAACAAGCACAGGATGTACTTTCATTTATATATAACCTTTCTGTTCTTTGTGACCACTCAAATCACTTTTAGCTACAAGTTTTGTTTTAACCATTTAAAATTAATATATATATATCACTTTAGTGCAGCTCAAGCAATATCTCATACAAAAGCCCAATTTAGAATTATCAATTAAACTAACAGGTATGTGTTTGGACTGTGAGAGGAAGCCAGAATAACCCAAGTGCTCTGGAATTGGTCAAACATGCAAACTCCACACAGAAAGGCCTAACTGGGTTTTGGACCTCCATAATCCAACTATATTTCAGACCTTGTATCTGTGCCATGGCAATACTTCTCAAGCCACTTTTCAGGCTAAAAGAATGACATTTAGACATTTTGAAGTATTTTATTTTTATATTTAATCTTGAAATGGTCCAAATTTGTCCTGAACAGTATGCAAAGGTTAAATCATTCCAATGGTATTTGCTTTAAGAAATCACAGCACTAATGTGATCGACAAGAACAGTTTCTATAAAAACGTGATACGTGGTAGTAAGCTGCAGAGAATTTAAGCTCTAGCATATAATAATGTGAGCTCTTTCACTGACCTCTTATAAGCCTTTGTAATATAAAGGAAACAACTACTGTATATATACTGAAGAATATAAAGAATGCACAGCAATTTATCACCATTTCACACAGCATCCACATTCACAGTATTATAGTGTATTCACAAACATGTAGTTATTTTAAATAATTTTGTTTTTTGCATTTTGTTACAATGTAGTTATACATTTTTAGAATTAATTCTTCATTTAAAAATATTTTGCATATTATAATCAAAAGTTGACTCTTAAAGTCTATACAAAGCACGCTTTGAGGGTGGACATCCACTGGAAGACAAGTGACCTTTAAAGTTGTAAATCTTGCTTGCAGAAAAAAAAAAAAGAAAAAAAGAAGAAAGAAATCGCCAGCATCAAATGTGACGTTTGAATAGAACCATGGCATATATTTATGTTCTCTCAAGAGGCTAGTGGTGAGTAAAAATCCCGCTGTAGGTGAACACTTTACAGCCCTCTCTCTGCTAATCCGCTAAACAAGCCATCAGGAAATAGATTTATTTATTTATATTTTGAGAGGGCATATGTTCTGATAGCATGCGATAATCACTCGGAAACTTTTACAACTCTTTGGCATATACACTTCACACAATTCAGTGCCACAGTTGACTGCTTCACTTTACTTTTAGTACGATGTTATCTGGAGGTTGAACAGATGATTTTGTGTGTGTATGCAGTAAAAGCCTTTTTCAGATTGTCAGCTGTGGTTCTATAAAAACGGAATGAGGCCAAAGAAAACAAACACACATCCATGTATTTGTTTTACTTCCTTTACTTTACTTTTTGCTCCTCCCCATTTTGCCACTCCTTTCTGTATCTGACTGTCTTCATACATAGCCCTTGCTCTTTGTTTCTCCCTAGATTTGACCTGATTATGTCATTTTAATATACCTTCTGGTTGTTTCTTGCACCTGGGCTGCAAAACTTGACAAACATTGTGACAAAGCTTTGTTCTACTCCAGCCTACAGATAAACTGTGCTGTATCAGGCTACTGTATGACTCGAGTCACATGAGCTCTAGTCTGTGACATTGGTGTCCACCCCATGTGGCCAACATAGAATGAGTATGCTTTTCATACAAATAATATAAAGAATTCAACTATTACAGTCTTTTATTTTCTTAATGTGACTGGCAAGTGTTGCTCAGAAAGAGGTGTAACGCATTTCATTTCCATTTTGTTAAGCCAGACACTCTTTGGTTCTTTTACAGCTGCAAAGAACACCTTAACAGACCAAAGTATAAAGTGAAGATGTGCCAAAAGTAAATTTCCTCTTACCTGACTAGTGTATCTTTTAATCTTCTATCGAATGAAGCAAGTTCACTCCATATTCGAGCTCTCATGTGTGCATAATGTACATGTGTGTTTGTGGTAGGAGGTCCAGAGTACGGTGCATGTGGCAGGAGGTGAGCGTGTGTAGCACCCCACAGCAGCTGGTTAATTATTACAGAACATGTTGAGACAGTGTTCATAGGGAGTGGCTGACTGACACCAGATATGACTCGACTTAACTGTACGTTTGTGCATGCATGCCCGGAGAGAGTGAGAGTGGGGGTTATGCATAACACATTGCATTTGCCTGCTGGGCAATTTTACAAATTACAAATCAACTGAGATTGTAGTGGGATTGGAACACTGTTGATGTTTGTACCATTTGGACTGAACCATCTAGAAAGTCTTCAACATTCTAAATACAGAGTTTATTCACATCCTGCACATTTGTCCTTTTAAAAGTTTAGACCAGGTGTCTTACACTGCCAGGATCAAACATCTACTTTGTTGATGTTCAGGTTACAGCATGTAACACCACAAAATCCTACTAGTCAACATTCAGTATGTTTGCTTTTAAAATAGAACTTGACTCCTTCTTTTTATTAGGTTATAGTTAGGGCTGGATCAGGTGACTCTGAACCTCTTTTAGTTATGCACAGTAGGCCTGGGCTACTGGGGGGTTCCCACGATGCCCTGAGTGTCCTGAGCAGATGACTGCCCCTCCCTGAGCATGCTCCTACTGGAGGTTTCTTCCAGTTAAAACTGAGTTTTTCCTGCCCACTTTCTCCAAGTGCTTGCTCATAGGGGGTCATCTGATTGTTTGGTTTTTGCTGTATTAATGTAAGCTCTTTACCTTAAAGTACACCTTGAGGTAACTGTTGTTGTGATTTGCCATTATATAAATAAAATTGAATTGACCTGAATTGAAAAATGTGACTTTGGAGTTTAATGTAATTTTTTATGTTCTCTCAAAAGAAAACAGAAGTTTTGTTCAACTGTCATAATCTCAAAAGCCTTAGCAATGATCTTTTCAAATAAGCAATTTGTGTCAAATACACATGCATGTGAGCACCAACAAACACATTAAAACAAATACATACATATGAATACAAAATGTAGGGCAGAAACCTGGTAGTACAGCCTATGTAGAGAAAAAAAAGTTAAAAAGTTTACGGTTATCAAAACAATGGACGTCTTTAAAGTATGTTTGCAAACCTCAGTCTGATGCAAATTGGAGCCACTGCTGCGATTCTGTCAGCAGAGGGAGGCAGAGTATTAGTGCAAATATTTAACAGAGACATCTGGTAATACTGAGTCAGAGATTCCAGGCCTATCAGTCTCAGAGGGATCTTGTTATCTTTTTCAGTTTTATCCTGGTTTGATACCAGGTTAAAACCTGATCTCTTTGATGTGTTTGGGTTACTTTGGTGTTGTAACACTTTCATGAAACAATAAAACTGATTAAAAAAAACTGGACTCATTACACTACATACAGCCCAGTTCTGTCAAGCAGCAATGTAAACTAATAAAATCCTGTGCTTTGGCAGAGCAGCAGTTTATATAAGATTTACTGTATACTGTTTACTATATAATAGGCTAATGTACTCTTTGAAATAGCAAAGGGTGAATGGAGCTAGACAATCAACAGATGTGAATTATTTCATCAGACGCAACGTTTACATGGACTGTAAGTTAAGGAATTCTCATATTATAGGCTTTTGCTAATTAGCCAAAAAGCCCATAAGAACAGAATGATAAAACAAAACAAAACAAGAAGGTCACAAACAAGCAATCCTTTGTATTTTACGTTTAATTTAATCCGCTTTATTTATTAATTTTTTGAAACAAACCTCCCTGTGACATCCGTTAGGTCAACAGTTAAACCTACACAGATGACAGACTGAAGCTAGCTGTGTGTGCTGATGGAGTACAATAGTAGAGTGTATCTGAAGCAGAATGGATAAGGAGCAAATGAACTGAAATGCCATTCCTTTCCCAAAATAAAACAGGACGTACAGGCTGGCAGGCAACAGGTGGGCACAAAGGCTTCCTTCTGGAGTGTGTGTGTGTGTGTCAATATATAACAGTAAATGCATGTTAAGTAATGTGCTAAAATAAGCCTGTCTATATATTTTTAAAAATACGTATTTGTAAATTTCTTTATATATTAATATTAATGACTTAGTATTAATATTAAAAGAGGATACATCTGCAGATAAAATATACCTTATTTTTCTTTTGATGGTTGACATGAGCTGACTTTAGTGGCTTTTTGGTTATTTTACTTGTGCATTTAAGGATCACACCTCTGACCACATTTACATGGAGCCATTGGTGCATGAGAAAAAGGGTAGTATGGCAATATAAAGTAATTTGCACTGCATATAAAAAATGTAGAAGTTTCAGAATTTCTGTGTCTTTATGTCTGCCCATACTGACCAAAACCTGTACCTAGTGTCTTATATGAATATGATAAATAAACACTGTTTGTTGATGACTTTAAATGTAGTTAACACACCAGCACTGGAGCCTGTGGAGCTTAGAGCAGAACTACACAACCTGAGTGACTGTACATGAGGACAGCAAGCAGCTGCCGCCGTCAGTTACAAAGTTAAAAGACACACGCGCGCACACACAGATACATACGCAGAGTGATTGAGCTGGTTCTTGCTGAGCGCAGAGCTCATGGCTGTCCCTGGCTAAGACACACGCAGATGCACATAGGAGAGAAACACAACAAGAACATCTCTATATGTACTGGGGGAATCTCACCATAGTCTCATTATGTATCTGCTAGATAATGGTCTGACCAATAATTCTAGAGCAAGGATGACGACTGTGGAACACATTTTGGTCTTTCTGCTGATTTTGATCCCTTCATGTTACAACATGCAGACAGGTAAGTGAGACTCCTACACCAGAGGTCCTTCAAGCATGCCTTTTTAAAGTTTTCTAAAGTGTCTTATTACACTGACGTGGTGAATAATTAGAAGAACATGAAGTTTGAATTAATTATGCATGAAAGCTGCAATGTGCTTGCCAAGTTACAACAGCAATCCTAATAAATGTCACGAAATGTAAACAGAAGAACAAAACGAAAAAAAAAGGATAAACCTTTTAAGACCGTGCCTTTGGATGGGTGCACATGTGTAAGTGAATATAATGTGCAGAAGACAAAGAGAAAGCAGTCTGAGTTTTTCCTGGCACATGTAATCACCTGTTTCCCACTGCACATCCTGCAGGGAAAAGGAGAAGGTGTTTATAGGTCAACATAGTGTAAATGTGATTAAATCTACATCCTTCCTACACTTTGGGATATCCTCTCTGAAGCATATGGTAGGGGTGGTGGGGAACTAGCTATTCCTGCTTCTTCTTCACCACATCTCAGCCTGATTGGGACACCTCCTGCTGAGCCACATTGGGAGGAAACAGCAAACCTGAGCTTGTTGTTGAACCAATAAGGTCAGCTTCAGGGTCATGAGATGCAAGATGGAGATGAAGTCATCGATAATACACTACTACACATTGGAAATTATTTAATGACTACACACATAAAGCTATACATGCTACAAATCGTCTCATAGAAACAGGTGGTGCAGATGCAGTTTCTCTTTGCCTGGTTGGCTATTGTAACAGTCAAGCTACACGGTGGACTGACATGGTGTAGGGTTAGGTTTGACTGTAGGTTTTTCCTGTGGAAGTCATTGATCAGAAGGTTGAATTGATGTGCATAGCTTCTTCCACGTCATTGCAGATCAACTACAGTCAAATAAGAAAAGAAAAGTATTTCTTGAAGATTTGATTTAAACAATATCTACAACACATTAACATCTTAAACTATTCCACTGGATTTACAATAAGTCTTGAGTCACTCCTCATTTTTTTCTTTTGCTTCCAAGGACCCAGACTTTCTTGTACGTTTTAAAGCGGTCTAAAACAAGTTCTCCAAGCTTTCTGAAGGTCTTTCAAATTTTCTCTTTGGACACTGGCTTCTATTTTCTCTTATATACTGTATTTCTGGGATGTTTGTATATATTTCAATAGATCACTGAACCTATTTCCTAAATATAAAGCTAAATATAAAGAAATAAAGGGTGACTCAAGACTTTTGCACAAAAGCGTACAATATTTGAGTTTAAACATCTGTGAAAATTAAATGATCATGGGTGCACTTTTTAAGATCAAGTGACGAGTTTGGCTTGACCACAGTATAACAAACTGTGATGAATATGTAAATGAATATTTAGCAACTTTGGACAGACAAGTGCTATAAAAGTGTTATTATCTTATTACTATTGGTTGTTTTATTTTGTGTTTTGTCAGGCACTGATTAATTGACCAAAGCCAATATGGCTGGCACAGAAATATTGACTTTCATGTCATGCTACGGGTGATCTGTCTTTATTTTCCTGTGTTTGGTTTAATTTGAAATGACTGCGAACCAACTGTGGTGACACATTGCAGCATTGCCTCACAGTAGAAGGTAACTGGTTTGAGTCTCCTGGTCAGCTGGGGCCTTTCTACATGGAGTTTATATGTTTTGTCTGTTACTGACAGTCGAAAAGTAGACTTGATAGTTGGTGGTTGCACAGGTAGCCAGTCCAGGCTTTTTAGTAGCAGAAATCTACACATTAGATTATGGTTTCAATCTGCATCTGTCAAGTTAACAAAATTAGACTTTCAATATGTACACCTTCAGACTCAATGTATAATTGTTAAGTAATTAACTGTCTATTCTCAGAATCAAGATCACTTATTGATTCAAAAGCAGCCTGATTAGTTAAAGAGGCTTTTTAATGTTGCTCAACATGCCTGTGTAACTGAACTAGAATAAACAATGTATCTGGTGCTGCAGACATCTGAGCACCAGATACACCATGAGAACAATGCTATTTTTTTTTTGTTTTGTTCTCATTTGTCCAAAGTAAAAGTCAAAAGCTTCTATCTGGTCTGCACAACAGCATTGAAGTATGCCTGGTTGTGTGTGTGTGGTGTGTGTGTGTGCGTGTGAGAGAAAGAGGATAGTATTTACAATTTATCTCTGAGCATGGAAAAAACCTGGAGGCTAAACTTTTATTCAAGGCAAACTCCAAAGGAACCAAAGGTTATGAGTTACAGGCTGTATGAAAAAAGCACATTTTATGGGGTAAAGATTAGGAAAAGATACATTTTATCAGGACATTTCTTGAATTGCACACACATTTCTAAAGTGCTGCACACTAGCATAAACAAGCTGGTTGCTACTTCTTCAGCCAATCAAGATCAGCATTAACACAGCAACACTAAAAATAATAAAGGAACTTGCTGTTAGTTTGTAAGGGTTTGTAATGCCTATAGCAAAGGCCAGAAGTGATCACTGTAAGTGGCCTTCTCTATTGCAGGCCTTGACAGCCTTGAGTCATTTCTGGTGTCCAAAAAACATTCAGAGATTTTGGAAAAACAAAATCCTCTGCCGGGGTCAGATCCGCAGAGGTTCTCGTTTGCTTTAAGTGGTGAGTCATTTGGCTTCAGTCTTCAGATGTTACCCATCTGTTCAGACATAATATTGGCAATGGAAAGACATTGCAGACAGAAACAAACAGTCTTCTCCAAATTTGCTGCAACTTTAATACAACATAATACTTGAAAAAAAAAATTAAAGTTCTTAAGAGGAAGTGTTTCCTGATATTCAGCCTAGTCCTTAATCCACAACAAGGGTAACAGCAGTTCAACATGTGGTTAATTTCCTTTAATGAGATGGAAAGTTATTTCACCACAGAATTAATTAGGATTGGTTCTCTTGGGACAATGAATGTCCACACAAATTGACAAGACAATACATAGAATAGTTCATTGATACTGAGTTCATAGACCTCCATCTTACTTTGACTTTAGCTACAAATATATCATTTTTCTAAAGACCAAGACTTTTTCAGTACATGAGTATGCTTTATAATAGGTTTTGTTTTCATCAGTCAGTAGGAAGTCACAGCAGCAGTGACCTTGAATTGAGGGTGGGGATGTGGCTGCTTCTCAGCTATGTTATTGTGAAATCTTGGTTTCACCAAAGACAAAACAAGCACAATGCCCTGTAAGCCCTAATCCTATCATTGCTTCTTCTTTCTTCTTCTTCTCTTTCCATGCTCTCACCCTTCCTCTGCTCTCTCCTTTCATCCCTCCACTGGTTTATATTTTTCCTCTTTCTCTTCTTAGTTCGTGCAAAGTTTAAAGCAACCTAACTCTCTGATCTAAATCCTGTGTTTCCATCTCCTTACTTCTCTTTGTCTTTTAAAAGTGTGCTTTTTGTATCTTTCTTTTATACCCACTACCAACTCTCTACTTCTCAATATAATAACCTAGAGCAACAAAACAATGTTGAAAATACAAGCTCAAAATTCCTGCAACTCCCTGTCCGTTATTAAGACGGAGTAGCCAAATAAATATTGATCACATCTTTAGTCTGGATGGATTTACATCACAAGAGATGTGTAATATTTTGCATAGTGTTTGTACACACAATTGGTGACTTATTCACCCTAGTTTTGACAAAGACCATGTGCTGAAATCAGATAGTGGAGAACATTGGGTGCTGTGGGGATAAAGGCTTTCCTTGAATGTTAAATTTCTCTGTTGTCTTTGCTTTAACCTCACCCGACTAACAGCAACCCTCTAAACACTAGATAAAGTTCAGCTTCTATACTGGTCTCTCCTTTTGTGCTATCCTCCCTTCCTCGTCTTAATCCTCCAAAACTAATCAAATCCTAAATGTTAATTCTGACAATAAACATGCTTCTTCTTTTTCTTTCGTTATCTCAAGGTCAAATTCTTCTGCTTACTCAGGTCAAAACTGTGACAAAGCACAAAACCTCTGACCCTGTCTCATTAGTCAGCAGTGTTAGCTGGATCCTCACTGACTAAAACAGATGACTCAGTCCAACAGAAGAATGCCAAGAATGTCAAATAATTTAGCTAAAAAGATGCAGCTGTTGAGACCTCCTTATCACTTATTATAATGTGCTTGAATCATTATATTGCATGCTGAAATAAATGTAAAAAAAGAAAAGAAAAGTGTACAGACTGTAAAATGTCCAATATCTATTTTTGGCTATCAACAGGGCTCCTTATAAAATATGAAAGCTTTTGTAATAGTATTTTAGATTTCTAGACATAGTTTACTTATACGGTATCTAATGACTAACTAATAACTGCCAATATAATTCTAAAATTGCAGTCACCTATAAATGAAAAAATAATTAATTCAAGTTTTGTAGCTTCTGCACCCAAAATCACAGCAAATACAATGTACTATCCTTACAGTTCTTCATTCAGGCTTTAAGGGTAATAACATATAACCAATAAACATTTAACAGTGTATTATGTAGCATAAAACATAATTCAGCGCACTATGTTTATGTATTAACTCAAACACAAACTGCTGCAACTACAACAATAAATAACTTACATATATAAAGAAAAATCTTGATTTTTTTCCTTTGGATCTTTTTTTCGTAGCACCTCGTATCATCACATTATTAGAGACAGTGGACGTTCTACTGGATCACAATGCCACCTTCATCTGTGAGGTGGAGTCACACCCCCCTGCTGAGATCACCTGGACCAAAAATAATCACCAAATTATGTAAGTTTACAGCTTTATTTAAACTACAACAGTGAACTTAATTTTGATCCAGTTTAGAGTTAGGTTGGGGCTGTAGTCTAACCCAGGAGTATTACATATAGAACATATATCCAGTGATCACTTCTTTGCTTTGCACTGTCCTTTTTGTCCCATTAGGTACTATGACACACGGTACCTTACCAAGGAAAAGGGTCAGATGTTAATCATCCCACATGTAAGAGAGTCAGACAATGGGGAGTATTGTTGCCTTGCCAGTAATGGCATTGGAGAACCTGCCAAGAGCTGTGGAGCGCTTCAGCTAAAGATGAGTATGTTTACTTTTTTCCAAGGATGTATGACTGGAGTTTGAGCGAATCTGATCATTAGTTCACATTTTTGAAAAAAATAACTAATACCAAGGCATCATTAAAAGAACACATTCCAAGCCACTGTTCTATGTCTTGTTGGTTTCGTCATCAGAGCCACAGATCAAAAGGCATCCCACCAATCTAACACTACTGGTAGAATCCAAAGCAGTGTTGCCCTGTGTTACCCTTGGCAACCCTAAACCAGATGTCACGTGGCTCAAAGATGATGAGCTTATCAAGGTACAGTTGCTGCAAGTTTTCTAGGTAAAATACATGCAGTTCACTGACTTATGGAGTTAATAATAACTGTCTGAGAGTACCATATACTCATGAGTAATTCATTTTTTTCACTATTTGACCAGAACTGCAAATAGCTGGATAGTTTTCAGGTTTTCAAAACTGCAAGACATTACTTGAAAAGGAAAGTTATCCTTTATGTGTTTTTCAGTTTGCTTTCTTGCATCTCATAGCCTGTGTTGACAAATAGTTGGTAATAAATAATGCTAATATATCATTTCTATTTTTAAAACAAACAATAACTCTTCCAGGTCAATGACCGTGTTACTATTCTCGACTATGGGGCATTGAAAATTCATCACATACAGAAAGAGGATGCAGGACAGTACCGCTGTGTGGCCAGGAATAGCTTTGGTTTGGCCTTTTCAAAGCCTGTCACCATAGAAGTACAAGGTATGTATTTTAATGTAAGCTGTAGCTTGCAGTAAAACCATGTGTGTTTTCTACGCTATTGTTGTTTGTGTGTGCCCTCAGCTCCAGCACGAATCTTGCGGGTTCCAAAGGACAAAAGGGTGGCGTATGGCAGCCAGATTTCCCTAGAATGTAATGCCACTGGAAATCCAGTCCCAACCATTACCTGGCTGGAAAACGGGAATACTGTGAGTACTCAACTTGTGTGTGTGTGTGTGTTTGTGGGTACCTGTACAGCTGCTGATGCTGATATTTTTATAATATATACTGATTTTTTAACAAAAAAAAAATAGAATTTAATCAAAATATCCAGCCAGCTATACATATCCATTCCTTGGCCTCTGTGTGATCCTACCAGGAATATGCTTGTCTCCCCCACAGTGGTTGCAACAGTGGTTGAATTTGGCTCAAATGTCAGTCACACACTGCCAACATAAGAGAAATTCTAGCACGTAGCTAAAATAGTGACACATTGTCAGCTGCATAGCTGTACATAATGGGAAAGCGGCAACAATAATTGATTAAATGTCCAAGCTGTCATGTAAGAGAGAGTGATGTTATGATTACAATTTGTATTCATTATAACCCCATATCAAAAGCAAATTAATAGTTTATTTTCTGCTGTAGGCATAGATATAGAACTACACAAATACTTATTGTCTAAATCCAACACATTATCATTACCCACTTTTTTGACTATAGCTAAAGAGATGACAGTTCACTGGGTAAATGCAAATGCTTACAAGGCACTCTTGGAAACAAATCCGTCCATTGGTTTCAGTTCTCCAGTAAGAATTATAGTATCCAAGTGGGCTTGCCACTTGGATACTATAATACATTTTAATACTATAATATTATGGGGCGATCGTGGCTCAAGAGTTGGGAGTCCGCCTTGTAATCGGAAGGTTGCTGGTTCGAGCCCTGGCTTGGACAGTCTTGGTCGTTGTGTCCTTGTGCAATACACTTCAGCCGTTGCCTACTGGTGGTGGTCAGAGGGCCCGGTGGCGCCAGTGTCCGGCAGCCTCGCCTCTGTCAGTGCGCCCCAGGGTGGCTGTGGCTACAATGTAGCTGCCATCACCAGTGTGTGAATGTGTGTGTGAATGGGTGGATGACTGGATGTGTAAAGCGCTTTGGGGTCCTTAGGGACTAGTAAAGGGCTATATAAATACAGGCCATTTTTTTTCTCTTTTTAGACAAGCTTGCTTGTGTGTAGCTCTGCAAAATAGAAGCGGTTTTATTGATATATGTCCATCTGCTAATGACTGAGTAAATGACACAAAAGTAAAAGGAATACTGTTCAAAGTTTGCAGCTGGGCCTTATTATCACTACACTAGCAAAAAAAAACAACAATCCCAAAACCAAACAAAAAAAACCCCTTACACTGGAAAGCTAAAAAAAACATGGTACTGCTATATTAAGCAGCTACTTCTGCTACTCCTGTACATAAAACAACGAATGATTTAGTAAGAAACTGAACACAAGCTATACTTTAAAGATCAACACTAAATGTGGGTACCTAAGGGTACCCGCAGGTCTGAATATTTTTGTCTTGGCTGTCATACGCAATATTCTATGGTTATAAAAGCAACTGTCCATTATACAGTTTGAGTGAACATAAGGATTCCTCCTTGTTTTTGGGTTGTTGTTTTTTCTTTATTAGAAATGAAATCAGTTAGAGACTGTGCAAAGTAAAAAATTAACATTTAACTTACAATTTTTGAACATATACTAAAGTAGCTTCCACCTTTTCTTTGAGCTTTGCCCGAGACCTACTCATACAGGGAAAAATTTATTTGTGCAATCTTTGTACATGTAGCAACAAAATAATTAGTCATGAAGCAGAGTGAGCATTAGCAAATATACAAACCAGACCTTACCTGAGATTGTATGCATATATATGTAAAATTACACATTTAACCTTTGCTGTCTTTATCTGTCTCTTTCACGCACGCACGCACGCACACACACACACACACACACACACACACACACACACA